TTACTTCCCCGGTTCCCGGGTAGTAGTGCTCAACAAAGTTTTGGTGGCCCTGCTTAACCCCAGCGACGGCGGCATCAACAAGGATATGGCGAGCGGGAAACGCTTGATATTTTGTCTTGTGATATTACTGTGTGCCGGGAGCTTTTCCTTAGACATTGATGAAAATGGTTACATTTTGTATTGCCCGTGCATGGGTGAGTGAGGTGCAGCTACAGTTATATTGTATTTGTGCTGAGTAACCCGCCTGACTATGATTACTCTGTACCTTGTTTGAGGACAATTTACTTGGGGTATTTATTCTTTAAATATACTGTAATAATAATTACCTTAACACATTACTAATCGTCACCTTAACATAATTAGTTTTACATTAACTTATGACTAGTTAGAACTTCCTTTGTCAGCGAACCAAAACTTGACAGTTCAGTCTCCTAGCAACGAGTCCAAGCTCCTGTGTGTACTCACCTAATTGTGGTTGCAGGGGTCGAGACTCAGCTCCTGGCCCCTGGCTCCTGGTGTGTGTGTGTGTGTTTGTGTGTGTGTTTGTGTGTGAGTGTGTATGTGTATGAGTGTGTGTGTGTGTTGTGTGTGAGAGAGTGTGTGTGTGTGTATGAGTGTGTGTGCGTGTGTGTATGAGTTTGTGTGTACTCACCTAATTGTGGTTGCAGGGGTCGAGACTCAGCTCCTGGCCCCGCGTGTTGTGTGTGTGTGTGTGTGTGTGTGTGGTGTGTGTGTGTGTGTGTGTGTGTGTGTGTGTGTGTGTGTGTGTGTGTGTGTGTCAGTGTCAACAATCCATATTTGCACCAATAACTCATTACAGTTGTGACCGGGTGTGGAAGTGTGAATTGCTCATTACTCTAAAATTTGTTCATGATTGTAGCCATGTATAAATGTAAGTAACCATTCTTACAGTATTCATTACCTTTGTAACTTGTGAGTTCATTACCTTGTACCTAGTTCAGCCATCAAAACTTTGGGACCCAGTCCATGGACCCATTACGTACCTCTGTAATCTGTAAATACCTTTGTAACTTGTCATGATTGTGACTAGACCTACCTGGAGTTCATTACCTTTATAAACTGTGAGCTCATTACCTTTGTAAATTGTGAATTCATTACCTCTGTAACTTGCTCAGCTATCAAAACTTTGGAGTCCAGTCCCTGGACCAATTATGTACCGCCCACAGGATGGGTATGGGGTGCATAATAAACATATTAGACTAACTAGCAACGTAATGTTACCAGTAATAAAAAATATTATTATTATTATTATTATTATTATTATTATTATTATTATTATTATTATTACTTACTACAAGTACATGGTATACAGTCATAGCTGACATCAATGACATACTACTATATAGAAAGCCACTTGTTAAGCTGAGCATTTCGGGCAAATTAGGTCAGTTTTGTCCCCAGGATGCGACCCACACCAGTCCACTAACACCCAGGTACTTATTTTACTGATGGGTGAACATAGACAACCGGTGTAAAGAAACAACCCCAATGTTTCTACCCTCACAGATGGATCTATAATTTCCTAACAAATAGAACACAAAAAGTAGCAGTAAACAGAGTAAAAGCTGAGGTGGCTACCATGAAAAGCTCTCTTCCACAAGGCACAGTACTCGCTCCTGTCCTGTTCCTCATCCTCATATCTGACATAGACAGGGATGTACATCACAGCGCCGTGTCTTCCTCTGCAGATGACACCCAAATTTGCATGACAGTGTCCTCCATTGAAGACGCTGCAAGGTTCCAGGTGGACATCAACCAAATCTTTAAATGGGCAGCAGGAAACAATATGAAGTTCAACAATAAGAAATTTCAATAACTTCAATTTGGAAAACATGAGGAAATTAAAACTATACTGGAGTATAAAACAAATTCCAACCACACAATAGAGCAAAAAACTAATGTTAAAGACCTGGGAGAGATAACGTCAGAGGATCTCACTCTCAAAGACCATAGCATTGTATCAATCGCATCTGCTAGGAAAATGACAGGATGGATAATGAGAACCTTCAAAACTAGGGATGCCAAGCCCATGATGACACTCTTCAGGTCATTTGTTCTATCTAGGCTGGAATATTGCTGCACACTAACAGCACCTTTCATGGCAAGTGAAATTACTGACCTAGAAAGTGTACAGAGAACCTTCACAGCACACATAACTGCAATAAAACACCTCAGTTACTGGAAAATTCTTGAAGTTCCTCAACCTGTACTTCCTAGAATGCAGGAGGGAGAGATACATGATTATATACACTTGGAATTTCCTAGAGGGATTAGTACCAAACTTGCACACGAAAATCACTCCCTATGAAAGCAAATGACTCGGCAGACGATGCAACATCCCCCCAATTAAAAACAGGGGTGCCACTGACATGATAAGAGTCAACACAATAAGTGACAGGGGCCTAAGACTGTTCAACTGCCTCCCAGCATACATAAGGGGGATTACCAATAGATTACCAATAGAAGGCACCGGACAGGCATCTGAAGTTGGTACCTGAGCAGCCGGGCTGTGGTTCGTACGTCGAGTTGCCTGCAGCCAACAGTAACAGCCTGTTTGATCAGGCCCTGATCCACCATGAGGCCTCGTCACAGACTGGGCCGTAGGGGCATTGACCCCTGAAACCCTCTCCAGGTCGCTGGAGAGGGTTTCACCCTAGCCGTGTGAAGCGAGAGCTTTAACCACCAGGCCACGGGACACCGTACATGTGCCGCATCCGAGTATCTTCACTATGTAAATGTTTCATCATTCAGAGGCTTTTTCAATACAGTACAAGGACATAATGTGAAAACTGTATCATTATGTAAGTTTATTCAGGTACACATACACAAATACAGTTACATAAATTGTCATACATAACAGTGTATGCTTAACAATTTGCAAACAGACAAAATTATTTACAAACATTGAGTCCTGCTGTGGACATAGATACAATGTTTGTAAATAACAGTTTATGTGTAGGTTACCTAGGATAACCCATAAAAGTCAGACAAAATGGCTTATTTCCATTGACTTACTATTAATGTGATCAAAACTAAGCACTATTTCTCCAGGGTCATGCAAAGACTGTAGAACTATGTAGAGAAGACAGTGGAATGCGAGGTATAGTAATCAGTTCCTCAGCTTAGGATCAGGTGATGAGCGCCGTTGTCTTGAAGAATGTGAATCACAGGCAGGAAGATTGGTGCTTATATACTAGTCAGATGAGATGCAGCAGTTGAAGGCATTGTCACGGGCAGGTGAGATTTCAAAATGGAATTAGGTCATGCCCAAGAGTTGGACTTGTGACCAGACTAGTCCTACCCTAACCTTGGACCAAACACAGCCAGTCCTACCCTAACCTGGGACCAGCCATAACCAGTCCTACCCTAGCCTTGGACCAGACACAACCAGTCCTACCCTAACCTTGGACCAGACATAACCAGTCCTACCCTAACCTGGGACCAGACAGAACTGTCTTACCCTAACCAGGGACCAGACACACCCAGTCCTGCCATACTCTGTGAATAGACCATTTCTTCCCAAACCTGTGACTAGACAACACTAGACCAGCTCTAACTTGTGAACAAACAAGCACAGCTATATGTTTGTTTTATGTTTACTATATATGGTTTCCACATATTTTGATAAGTATGATTCAGCAGAGTAGGGACATGATACCTAAGAGATGTGCTAAGTAAAATGCAGTGGTAAAGGAAGACTTTTTTCAGATTAGTAACCCCTGAGGGTTACTAACTTAGGAAAACCAAGCAGTGTAACACATTTTTATTGGGGTGCTTAAGTCCTTTCCTAGGATGCAGTATGTATCAGTTAATTAAGCTTTAGGTATCTGTTTATTGCAGGTAGAACCTTGACAGCACATGTTAGGAGACTTAATGAATGTACAACACTGCATGCAACCATATGACCTGTCTTTGTAATACTCACTTGTGCTTTATAGTAATCTGTTTACATTAATGTTTTATCACTGATTTCATCATTGCTTAGTTAATCTTAAGTTAATTTTAAGCCAGCCAGTAATGCTATGCATAGTATAAGTGGCTTTGGTATGCTGCTCTTATCTGTATTTTTTTGTACCTCTGTATGTGTGCTCAAATTGTTAATAAATAAATAAATAAATAAATAAATAAATAAATAAATAAATAAATAAATTGCACCCTGCCTAGGATTTGACTCGTATCCTTTCAGTCATGAGCTAAAGGCTTTACTAATATGCAGTGAGGTACCAGTATTGTACATATGTAATTACAATAATGCGGAACAATGCTGCCCACATTAATATTTTCTTTTTTATGATGAGTGTGAAATTAAAGTTTAGGGGGACCACCTTACATTTCAAATGCTGAGTTTAAATTTTGTGCAATGGCTTCCATTTCATGTTTTATTTTATTATTTGGTTTATTGTACCTGTAAGTATGGGCCAATATATTCTTACTTGTGTATACTGTACGTAGGGTTAGGGTTGTAGATTTGTTATCTAGGATAACTCGGCAAAACTTTATTGCGATATATTATTGAGGATCCCTCCTAAGATTCCACTTAAAACAATAAAGTAACACCAAGGTACAGTACCTATTTACTGCTAGATAAATATGGCCAACAGGTTTAAGGAGACATGCCCATTGCCCATACAACTTGCCTTTCCTGGGAATTGAGCATGGGTCCTTTAAGTTGTGACCAAGCACTGTACTACTGAGCTACAGGTCTTCTATGATTATATACAGTTACTTTGCTATGGTTTTCTCTTTTTCGGGTAAAGGTCCGGGTTTCAAATAAAGTAATACAAACTAAATCAGAATTTTCTTGCAGGTCGATTTGGAAATCAAGCCGACCATTTCTTGGGTGCCCTTGGATTTGCCAAAGGTCTAAACCGCACCCTTGTATTGCCACCATGGGTTGAGTATAAGCCAGGAGTAACAAGATCGGTAAGGGAAAATATTTATGGTTGTGGTTCAAGAGTAAGCCTGAAAAGTTTTCAAGTATCAGTTGTAATCATCCTGAGTGCCACCACTGCTACAGTGGTCTGTATAGTACAATGTAACACTGTATCCCTTCTTTTTTTTGTAGTTTGGAGCACCTGTTTGGAATGAAGACCCAAATTTTAATTCTAAGTTCTAGAAGACAAAGACACACTTTGGATGATTAACATCGGATAACCTCTGGATAACACAGGAATGTCAAACAGAGTGGATTATTTTTTTATTTGAGCCTTTACACTTTTTCTCCTAGAATGTAACTCACAGTATCTGATTATACACCAGAAGAGCTGGCTGTTTACTGCTAGGTGAATATCTACACTATACTGCCAAGTAAAAAAGGGACAGCAGATGTAAGAAGTAGCCCATAAGTCTCAGTACCCTAGGGGACTGAACCCATATTCTCTTTGTAATGTGAATATTCTATTACTGAACTACAGGTCACATTGCAATGGTGAACTAGCAGCGTACATCCTTTCAGATTTATACAGTGGACCCCCACATAACGATTACCTCCAAATGTGACCAATTATGTAAGTGTATTTATGTAAGTGCATTTGTACGTGTATGTTTGGGGGTCTGAAATGGACTAATCTACTTCACAATATTTCTTATGGGAACAAATTCGGTCAGTACTGGCACCTGAACATACTTCTGGAGTGAAAAAATATCGTTAACCGGGGGTCCACTGTACAGTACTTCATAAGAGGCAGGAAAGACTTTGCTTCTTAAAATTTTTATTACACTTGGTAATTATTGATACGTATTTCAGTGAATATTCAGTCACCATCATCAGAGTTTTTTCTCTCTGGAAACAGACATTCTAATGTCAAATCTAAAACTAAAAAAAAAAAATACAGTCTACATTTCCAAAAGATGAAAACAGACCAGTCAGGAGGTCAACAACAGCTATAGGTAGGTTACCTGTAGGCTACCTGTAGGTTACCTGTAGGTTACCTGTAGGCTACCTGTCAATGGTTTCAGGGGTCATCACCCCCACAACCTGTCTCAGACCAAGCCTCCCAGTTGCTGGCCTGGTCAACCAAGCTGTTGAAGCTACTGTAGCTGCATGTAGACCAACATCAGCACTACAGCCCTGCTGATCAGGAATTAATTTGAGGAGCTTAAAGAGTTCTCTCTTGAAGTTGGTAATTTTCCTTATGCATGAGAGGAATGTGTTGACAAGTCCTGGTCTCTTTACACATTTCAGAAATTGATTTCCATGAGATTGCTGTACACAGCTTTCCCCTCAAGGGAGGTTCCTTAATGCTTGTGAGGGGCTCTTGATCTAGGGAATTGGATCTGTGCTCCGGTTCCCTGAATTGAGCCTGAATGCCTTCCATTACCCCCTCCCAGATGCACTGTATAATCCTACGGGTTTAGCACTCCTCCATGATTATAATAATTATAATGATGTACACAGCTTCAACTTCACTATTGCAGGTATCACTGACACATTGACTGATGTTGTTGGAGGTTATAGATTTACGTATACTGTATATACACACGATCATGTTGTTTATGGAATTGATGATGGTGGTGATAATGCAGATGGTGGTGTGTTGCTGAAGGTGGTAATGGAGGTAGTGGTGATAATGGAGGTGATTGTAATTGAGGTGACAGTGATAATGGAGGTGGTGGTGGTGGTGGTGATAATGGAGGAGGTGGTGGTTGTGCCACCACCCACCACCACCACAACCTTGTCCTACCAGATACAAAACTGTAGTAAGTTTCACCTTAAGGTGACATTATCATCAACATCAACACCTGTTGTAAATTCTATGATAAATTTACATAATGATGATTTAGACTAACAAACTTTAGGCAGTCAACATCAACCTGTCAGGTATTATTGTCTTTAACATATATTACTGCTGTAATTGTTTATGTAGTTTCTATTTCTGTATTAAATGCATTACTGCCAAGGGAATTTAATTTCTACTTGTGTTTTTTAACATATTACTGTTAATTGAGTTTTGCTAAATGGGCCTTGGGTGACAGTCCCTCATCTCTTCATAAAAATCCGCTTTTCACACACTACCAGAATTGATCATGTGTTGATACCAGTGGCTCAGCTGTATTGTCTAGGCTAGGTGTGTGATACTCCCTATGAAATGCCATAAAAATAAAATTGCTGCTCTTATATTTTTTCCAGATTCATGGCTTCTACTAAGACCTGCTGTTTGGTACTTATTATGTATTGTTCACACTTTCAATGTTTTCTCACATTTACAATATAATGTACTGTATGTCCACCTTATTGACCTCTATCTCCTTTCTCTCTTTCCATTCTACTGTTCTTACCTTTGTTCTCTATTACATGTGTTACGCAAAAATGCATTACCTTATCATTTTGTCATCCATCATTGCACATGACCATACCTCAGTACAGTAATGCCTTCTTCATAGACTTTTATATTCCAATCCTTTTCTTTCCATAACAATGTTGTATTTTACTGTTTACCCACGTAAAACCACACTTGCTTCTCATATGGTCCATCACTATTGCAACGAGTCTTGACCTTTCCTGCTACTGCCACATCAGTGTTTCATACCCATACATCAGTTGCAACAAGTACTCTTTCATGCAACATTCTATTTGCATCATCGTCTGCTCTTACTAATCAGAACTTTTGTTGCACCAGCCTTTTTTTCCTTTTTCTTCCCTGTCTTGGGCTGACTAGTTCCTTTTTAACTTCACTTACATTGATGTATCTTTTTTAATTTTACATATGAAGTAATTAAGTTCAGTAAATTCCAGTCTCCCTTTATTTACACAAATGTCAAAAAATTTGCTACTTTTAATTTACTTTTAATTGCAATTAACTTGAATCGTCTTCTCTTGACACACATTTGCAAAGGTTTCGTCTATCCAAAGTTGGTAGTACAGTAAACCCTGACTATAACAGATCCCATTATAAACTTAAAATTTAGGGCAAAAATCAACTGAGTAAATTGTTCAGTTTATAAACCCTTGATATATTGGACTCCAAAATAACAGACTCTTATAATTACAGAATGGTCAGAATTCGCTAGATAGATTGTACTTATAACTCCTTTATTTTCAGTGTTTATTGAAGTATATTTGTATACAGTATACACATATACTGTACTTTAGTGTATTTTATTGCCATTTTATTTAACATTATTCTGATTTAATGGACACCTGGATAATCATCTCTTATTAGTCCATAATATCGAAGGTTTACTGTTCTGTATAGTGTTAGATAGCAACCATCTAGTTACATAAAGTATGAGAGGGAACCATGTTAAACAGTGTGCACTCTGGTATGATTGCTGGTATTTTTGTCTCATAAATGTGTAAGGTGGCATGTAAATATAACACATGTTGTACTTTCATTATACATTTATATTTGTTGTACTGTGTGTGTTTCTTAATATTTCTTGGTCTATAAATATTTCCTTTCCAGGTTACAAGGCCTGGCTTTAGACTAAACAGTGGAAAGTGATTGCCCAGAACCATTAGCAGATAACAGATATGAAAGATGTTACAAATATATATTTCTCTACAAAAGAAGTATTTTAATTTTAACTCATGCTTAATATGTTTTGTTTTTCTATCATGTACAACACTATGTTTTCATCCCCCTTGCTGATGCTGGCTTACCTTAACCCAATGGTGGGGTTTGAGCAGTTTGTACCTAAGGATCAGGGCCAAGTCTCTGTGAGGGATAACAATTTTCCTATGGAGTTCTTGCTTGATTAAGAACCCAGCATCTCATTCATTCATTATAAGTGTTGGGGCTGTTTGTCCTTTTGTCTAACTTTACTAACAAGGCTGATGACACAAAATAATTTTGAATATTTATATAGATTGTGGAATGTGAAAAATAGATCTGAATAGTTTTACTTGTAGGTTTGTGTAAATGGGAATAAATTATTCACTCAGTAGAGTGAAAAAGTGATGTGAGAGACTTAGGAGGGATAATGTTGTGTTAGAAGGTTTCACATTCAAGAAGCATAACAATGTTGTTACTTTTTATTATTTTTATTAACACATCAGCCAATTCCCACCAAGGCAGGGTGGCCCGAAAAAGAAAAACTTTCATCATTCACTCCATCACTGTCTTGCCAGAGGGGTGCTTTACACTACAGTTATGTAACTGCAACATTAACACCCCTCCTTCAGAGTGCACACACTGTACTTCCCATCTCCAGGACTCAAGTCCGGCCTGCCAGTTTCCCTGAATCCTTTCATAAATGTTACTTTGCTCACACTCCAACAGCACATCAAGTATTAAAAACTATTTGTCTCCATTCACTCCTATCAAATACGCTCATGCACGCTTGCTAGAAGTCCAAGCCCCTCGCACACAAAACCTCATTTACCCCGTCCCTCCAACCCTTCCTAGGCCAACCCCTACCCCGCCTTCCCTACGAATTCTCTGCATTATATTCACACCACACATTGCCCTCAGACATGACATCTCCACAGGGAAAACTGATAGACTGGATAACTGCAACTTTCAAATTAACTAGATAACTGCAACTCAAAATTTCTGATTTCAGACAGCACACCCTCCATTTTCAAAGAACTAAACCTTTGCTTTTAATATAACACAATCAGATACTTCAGCAGTATGCTCCTACCCTTTTCTATATGATAATTACACCTTAGGAACAAAATCTAGCTGTTTCCCTGTCATATACCATCAAACAGGATAGGGTTCATACAGGGTGTTGAAATTTGTCAGTCTGAGCTGGGAACTTCAGCAATGCAATGAGGATATCATAAAAGATATCATTGAGCATTTCAGCAAGGGTTCATCAAGTATGGGAGCTTAAAAGGTTTCCTTCCAGCATAACTGGAGTTAGTATCACCTAAAAATTGCCATCTCTAAGGATAGTCTATCCTGTATATGGGGAAATGAAATTTTTATGAAGATATCTCCATCATTAGGGGTAGTAGGTTGGTAGATAGCAACCGC